AATAATGACTTTTTTCCTCCTAAAAAGAGTCTGATAGACTAAAACATTGGGACTTCACAAACTGGGAAAAACATTTGCCATTTGGCAGGTAATGGACTGACTGTCTCATATTATAAGGAGTTCCTAAAAGCCACTAAAATCCCCAATTGAAGGCACTGGTGAACCGCTTCAGCAGCTGAGACTTGAGGAGTGAGAATCCAGAGAACAGAGGCGGGCACCACCCCCCAGGCCAGGCTTTTCCTGGTCAGCAGTGCTGGGCACCGGGACAGCACAGCACTGGAGCACTGGCCTGGAGCCGGCAGACATACAGGGTGAGCCCCAGGCTCCCCACAACCAGAACTGGATCCTGTAGAAGAGGAACCCTCCAGGAGGCACCCATGTTCTATGCACAGCTTTCCCTGAGGCACGTGCCAGCCACCAGCTGCGCCGAGTCGTGCGGAGAGCAGCTGCCAAGAGGATGAAAGCTAAGCAGAGAATTTAGCAACCTGCGGGTGATCGAGCTGAGACTCAGGAAGGGCTCCACCCTAGGAGTGAAGGCAAACCTGACACAGATTGCTCGCAAGTGGACACAGGCCTTCTGCCCATCCTCTGTCTGCTGGACACAGGACATCATCCTCCGGGGACCGAACGATTTCTCACACCCACCCCCATAAACTACCAAGCACACCGGGGGATGGGACCAGGCCCCAGAAAACCAAGTGGGTGCAAAGGATCAAAATAAACATCAACTATCTGAACAACAAAAATAATGTCTTGTAATGTTTAAAATACACATAAAATTAAAACACGTAAAAACAATAGCACTGAAGGCCGAAGACAAAGATAAATGGAGTTAAAATATTGTTGGATGGTCGCTTCGTCTGGGAATTAGTAAAAGAAAAACAACTAATTTATGGTCAACTCTAATAAACCAAGGATTCTATTAAACTGCCTCGTATAACCACTAGCAGAACAGGAATGAACAACACCAGCTAAGAGAAGAATAGAGAACAAAGACTTTAAAATGCTTGATTTATCCAAAAGGCATCAAGAAAGAAAGAAACAGAAAAAAGAACAGATGGGACAAATAAAAAACAGAGTAAGACGGAAGCTTTAATCCCCACCCCCCAAATCGGTATTAACTGTAAATAGTCTTAAATACTCCTATTTACAGATTGGATCAAAACAAAACAAATCAAAAGCAAACTATATGCTCTTACCCAAGACATAACCTTAAATATAAAGGTACAGAGATATCAAATGAGAAAGGATAACAAAAACTACATTGTGCAAATATAAACCCAGAACAAACCTAGATTAGCTACACTGTATCAGACAAGGCTGCCTTTAAGGAGAAAAGCATCTCCAAAGACAAAAAGGGACATTTCATCTAGAAAAGGGTCAGTTCAATAAGATATAACCATCTTAAAACTGTAAGCTCCTAGTAACATAGCTTCAGGACAAAAAGCAAAACTTGATAGAACTAAAAGACACAAGAACCTTTAAATAATTCGAATGGAAATTGTCATACCTTTCTCATAACTGATACACAAGGAGATTAAAAAAATCAGTCAGAATACATAAAAATCTAAAAAAATCATAGCAAACTCAACTCAACCACACAAGGGATGTGCTCTGCATCCAACAACTGCAGACAGCCAGACAGCTGAACATCCATCGGAATCAACCACCTGCTGGACCCCAGCAAACGTCCGAGGACTGAAGTTCTTCAGCTCATGTTCTCAAACCACACTGGAACTGTGCTTGAAATCAATCAAAAAGAGTACTAGGAAATCCCCCAAAGTTTGGAAATCTAGAGAAACCACTGGTGAAAATCAGTTGGAGTCCCCAGAAGGCTACAGACGGAGGGGGTTCTGATAAGGAAAGGTCTGAGACCTGCCTCAGGAGAAGCAGGGCAGTCAACAGCAGGGCTGGCTACCTATTTATGTAGGACCAGTGAAAAATAAAGACATGGGGTCTTTCGTCCAAAAATCAAAAGTACTAAAATGTTTTCCCTTTTTTCTGTGGTTTCTCTCCCAACTTATTACAGTGTTTTTTGTTACTTAATGCTGTTCTAGGAAAAATTAACATTTTAGTGTTAAAATAAATAAATAAGTAAGCCACTGGTGAAAGGAGAAATAAGGATGGAAATTAGGAAAATTCGCAAAGTGAATGATGATGTCAAGTCTTCAATCGACAGTTTGACGGAACCCCAGTCAAACACCAATAGCTGAGAAGCCACTCCTAAAACTGAGTTGGGGGACTTCCCTGGCAGCCCAGTGGTTAAAGACTCCTGGCTTCCACTGCAGGCGGCATGGGTTCAATCCTTGGTTGGGGAACTAAGATCCCACATACTTCATGGTGCAGCCAAATTTTTTTTTTTTTAATTAAAAAAAAAAAAACTGAGTTGGAAATGCAAAGGACTAATAATAGGTAAAACCACCCTGAGGAAGAATAAAGCTGCCAGCATCAAGACTCATTACAAAGCCTCAGCAATCAACACAGCGCTAGTGTGGGAAAGACGGACAGACCTGTGACAGGAGTTCCCACTCTCACACGTACACAGGTGACTGACAAAAATGGTGCCGGAGCAAGAGGGTGCTGCTCCTCAGAGAACCACCCAGAACATGACCCCTGACCCCTGCCACACACCAGGCACCCCAGATGGGCATGGATCTAAATGTGAAAGAGAAAAGAAAAGGCTTCTATGATATGACAGAGTACACTGTCTTCAGGACCTGGGGATAAGCAAACATTTCTTAAATAGTACATCAAAAGCACACAGCAAGGGACCTCTCTGATGATCCAGTGGCTGAGACTCTGTGCTCCCATTACAGAAGGCCCAGGTTTGATCCCTGGTCAGGAAACTAGATCCCATACCCTGCAAATAAGACCTGGTGCAAATAAAAAAATTTTTTTCCTTTAAAGTACACAAGCAAAAGAAAAACTCAAAAAACTGAACGACTCTAAAATTAAGAACATCTGCTGATCAGAAGAAAGTGAAAAGGCAGCCAAGAGTGAGAGAAAACATTTGTAATAGACATGTCTGAAAAAAGTCTTGTATCTTAAATCTTTAACAAACCTCCATAAATCAATAAGAAAAAGACAACTCATAGATTAAAAAATGGACAAGACTTGAAAGGCACAAAAGAAATCCACACAGCTAGCAAAGAGTATGAAAAGGTGTTCAATGTCATCAGTTACCTGAAAATTACAAATTAAAATCCAAATGAGGTATCGCTATACATCCAGTGGAAGGGCTAGAGACTGAAAAAGGGACCATAGATGTCAACGTGACTAAAATTCCAATATGGTGCCTGAGGACCACTTTAGAAAGCTGGGTAAAGTCTGGAAAAATCTACCAAGACTGGACAAACATGACCCCAGGACCCAACAATTCCACACCTAAAGAGAATAGCCAACCAAAGTGCACACAGGCTGCACCAGAAGAAACAGGCAGAGCAGCCCGTCCCAGATACTCGGCTCTGGGTGACCGTAGACTCCTGCGTGGATAAGCATATGGCAAGGAAGATGGGCAGACCACCCCTGGCCACCCAGCAGTAACTTGGGATCTCAGGTGTGAAGCTGAGGAAGGAGGCCAGACACTCACCAATACTTCCTGTGAGGCTCCATTTTCACTAACTTGAAAGGCAGGCAAAATTATTCCAAAACATAAGAAAACAGGCAGTAACCTCTGTGGAGGAAAAACTAGGGCGGCCCAGGGAAGCTTCGAATGCTGGAATGTTTTGCATCTGCCCTTGAGGTGGTTCTGTGACTGTGTTCACTTAGCCACATGCTCTGGTGCCTCAGATGGAAAAGAATCTGCCTGCAATCTGAGAGACCTGGGTTCAACCCCTGGGTTGGAAGATCCCCTGGAGGAGGGAATGGCTACCCACTCCAGTTATTCTTGCCTGGAGAATTCCATGGACAGAGGAGCCTGGCAGGCTATAGTCCATGGGGTCCTGAAGAGTCAGACATGACTGAGCAACTAACACTTTCACATTTTTCACTTTCAGTTAGCCAAAATATATCAAGCTATACGTGAGATTTATGTGCTTTGCCTTACGTATACTATGTTCCCAAAGAATTTACCAAAAACTCAACAACTCCATAAAAGGTGAGCAAAAAGCATGGACAGTTCACGGAAAGAGAAATGCCCACCAGTCTACGGCCATACCACCCTGAACGCGCCCGATCTCGTCTGATCTCGGAAGCTAAGCAGGGTCGGGCCTGGTTAGTACTTGGATGGGAGAAATGCCCACCTTTACTTCAGGGAAGCCAAGACTTGCCATCACCCTCGGGTTGATGGAGGGGAGAGGCCAAGCTCAGCTGCAGAGCTACGGCACTGACCCACACACGGGCCCTTGAGGAGAAGCTCCTGCTCTGAATCAGGGATCCCAGACCCAGGTAGCCTTCTACAGCACTTTCTCAAAAGTATAGAGGCACTCGTGTGCACACATATTCACTGTGGCTTTGTCTGTAACAGTGAAAGCCTGGAGAGGTGACACCAGCAGACTGTCCCCAAGGACTTTCCTGGTGGTCCAGCCGTTAAGACTCCACACTCCCAATGCAGGGGGCCCTGGCTTCGATCCCTGATCAGGGAACTAGATCATGCCCACTGCAACTAAAGATCTTACATGGCAGATAACTAAGACCCGGGTCAGCCTAATAAATTAAAAAAAAACAAACCACAGTCTCTAGCAAGACAGTTGCAGGTGACCTCAGCAGAGGATGGAGTCAGGGTCATGGAACACTCGGGGCACACACGGATAATCCAGCCACCAGACAGACAGGCAGGGAAAAGCTGTTCGGTACTTGACACTCAGATAAGCTTGGCTCGGTTCAGCAGCCCTGGGGTGCAAGGCTGCTCACCGTGGCGTAGCCCCACGTCTCCCAGACCTGTGGGACCACGATCCTTTTGTGTAAGGAACACAACTAGTTCACAGTAGCCTTCAGACAACATGCCCTCCTGCTCTGCCTGACCCAGCCCCACCAGGAGTGGGGCTGAGAGCACTGCTCACCTGCGAGGAGAGAGAGTTCTTGTGAATCTTCTTGTAGATCAGCGTTGGGCAGATGAAGCAGATGAGGCTCCCCATGGTGGCCCCCGTGAGGCCCAGGATGGTCTCCACTGGCGAGAGAGCGAGGGAGGGGTGAGCGTCCAGCAAGCAGCGTGAGGAGCCGTCTTCCCGCGAGGACCCTTCTACGCATGCTGCTGGACAGCGGTGAGGAGCAGGCCACAGCGTTCTGTGCTCACAAGGACAGCTGGGGTGTCCCGCCTGACGCCGTGATGAAGGGGTGCGTGGGGCCAGGAGCCTCGGGGAAGTCTCCCCTCTGAACCTCGGCTTCCCCGCCAGCGAGGTGAGCTTAACAGCACTGCCGGCCCCATGCTGGGCCCACACCACTGCTCCAGCTCCTTGTGGAGTGTCTGGGCAGCCAGTGGGGGGCCTCTGGGCCAGTTCATCTTACACCACCCGACCTGGTGCCCAGCGAGTGACCCAGCAGAGCCTATCCTGGTTTGTGGGGAAGCCAGGAGTATGGGGGCCTTGGGGTTGCTGCCTGGAGGGTATGCAGGGCCCACTGGATGTCTGAGGACAATAAGCTTTGTCTGTGCTGGAGCAGGGCCCTGCCCTTTTCCCTCAGTGACATGTCAACAAAATCAGGAGTTGTAAGGAAGGAAGGAACTGCTTGGTAACCGCTAACTCACACATCAGGCCTGGACCTCACACCGCAGCTCCACCCACGTGTTTGTGGTCCCATCAAGCTGCAGTGTTTTCTACCAAGCCTTTCTCAGGGTGTCAAAGAAGAGAGCACCCAAGAGTGTCTAGACCTGTTTTTTTGACCAAGAGAGGACGGTGGTGAAGACTCTGGGTGTCTTGGTTGAACACCCAAGAATAAGGGGTGCACAACAGCAAGACAGGGTCGGGGAGAGCGGGATAAGCCGGTGGGAGGCCAGTCACTGGAGCAGCCACCCTCCTTACCATTTGGGATCATCATCCCACCGACCATGGTTCCGAACACAACCGAGAGGGTGAGGGCTTTAAATCGCAGGGGCGGCATGTAGCCTCCAGCGGCGAATGTCCCATCTTTTTGCTATATGAAAGAAAATAAAAACAAGATTTAGAAATGACCAATTTCCTCTCCACTCTCCTGTAAGCACGTCCCTAAAGGGCTCTGCCAACACCCCAGGCGGGTCAGCCTGGGAGGCAGCGAGTGAGCGCTCCAAGTACAGGCAGCTATGCCTGAACGTGAACCTGCAACCAGAAGCTCGGACCCCCAGAAGGCCCAGGCTGCTCCTCACAGCGGCTACAGGGATAACTTTGTTCTGAGAAACTCGGAACAAATCCTCCCGCCCTCCTCTTAGAGCAGTGCTGTGACAGAGGTTTTTAGAAGCACCGCATAGCACAGGAGACAGAACACAGCCCCACTCACAGTAACACGCAGCAAGTTTCAGGGTGCAGAGGGCCCCCCATGTGCACAGACATGCTCAGTTTTGCCATCCTTGTCTCTAGCAGGTGAGTCCAGAAGAAGACAAGGGGAGAAGTTACAACATGCTACAGTCAAGCCCAAGAGACCATCTCTGGCCTCGGCCTCCGCACCCAAAAGCACAGGGCACCGGAAGCATCTCATCAGGCTGTGGTGGGAGGCGATGGGAGAGAAGCTTCTAGAACAGCACTGTGCACACAGGAGGGGCCAGCCGTGATTACTGTTGCTGACCTAGGAAAACACCACTCAAGTGAAGCTTCAACCCTTCTCAAACTACAGTTTGGAGGCACCCAACGTCCAGAATTGACTAGCAATGGTGGCTTTCTCAGAACAGACCAGAGAGGGAGGGTGTTAGGTCTACACCTTCTGGCTCAGAATCCTGCAGAAATTTCCCCAGGAAACACTCTAAGAGCAGAAGAAACAAGCAGCTACATGCATCAAGGGGACACAGGTGTTATCTGTGAGAGGTCAAGGGTGACCAGGAGACGTCAAGCAACGACCAGGTGAGAGCAAGGGCACAGTGACGCTGGGGGTTTCTATGGATACACGTGGACTGGAGACAGGAGAAAACACAGCGAGGGGAAATCTGCAGAGATGCACACAGACGCTGAGGGGAGCAGAAGGGGTCATTCACGTGAGGATGCAAACATGCAGGTAAGCTTTCCACTCAAGTTAACATTGGCTTTATCACCACTACTGATTTTCTAATTTTTAAAATGATAAAAATGTGTTACATACAGAGACACAAATGCTATTCAGATATGAAGTACACGTATGCATCAAACGAGGACCCCAGGGCTCCATGAGCTGGCCTGCTGTGCCCCCCAAGGGGACAGAGCCTCGCGTGGTGCCCAGGTGCCTGAACAGCCAACAGGGGCAGGGGGCTCTGCCTCAAGGTGCTGGCCTTGGTGGCGGAATCCGAGGGAGGCTGACTCGACCACGTGCCGGCCACTAGAACACAAGCCCAGTTCCGGCTGTCCCAAGTAGCCACCTTCCCTGCCTGCCTGCTGGAGTCTCCCCTCCCCGCCTCTGTGGCCTAAGCAGCTCCACTGACCACGGAGTCCTGGCTGACGCCGCAGACCAGGCTCAAGGACTTGGGTGGGAACACAAGAACCACCACAGAGAGACAGGGCCAAGCCCATGCCCTCGCCCTGGGGCATGAGACACCACACCGGCACCACCTGTCAACTGGGCAGCAGTGAGCGGGGAGTCTGGGTTCCAACTGTACATCTGAAAACTGCTCACATAGGACTACTGGAGCTGGGCCTACACACACGACAGCAAACGAAACTCAGCCTCTCTCAGGGCTCAGATGTCTTCTGTCAAACTGTTAAAACTTTCTGTTACACGAACCTAAAGAGAACGGCGGCCTGACCCCAGCATCCATCAGCCCACCTGGCCAGCCATTATACACGCCTGTCAGTCAAGCCGGCTCTCCTGAGTTCCCACCTGCTCCTCTCCCAGGGGTTCATGCTGAAGCAAGCCCCCGATTTCCCACTACTCCTCCAACGGGGGGACAGCAGGGCAGTCACAGGACACAGGCCTAAGCTGCTTGGACACTGAGCATGACTCCACGTCTCCTGCAGGAATCAACCTGGCCTATATGGGGCTCTTTTCTCCAAAGTTGGTTGGTTTAAAAAAAAAAAAATCCCTATTAAAAGATTCCATTTTAACTGGAGTTTCTGATTTTTAACTAGGAAAAGCTCTGCCTGCGACTGCCCAGGAAAATAAGGAACTATAAAAAGCCACTGGAGGACAATGTAACTGAGGCCAGGACAGCGAGGATTCTGGGCAGAACGCCATCCGAGGGGCCCTGAGCACCTTACCTGCTGCTCAAAGAGCAGAGTGTTCAAGGCCTGTCTGCAGGGCAGGATCATCATGGGGAAGCCCACGGCCACAGACATCATGAAGCCCACACGGATCATCTCGGTCACCAGGTTGGAGGGGAAATGCATGAGCACGTTGCCCTCGGTGGCCTCAGTGAAGCTCACGTAGCCGAAGAAGCCCACCTGCGGGGGAACAACAGCAGGGGATGTGTGGCAGGAGGGGCACACCCTCCCTGGAACAGCCTCGAACTCGTCACAAGCAGCTGCAGCAGGACGAAGGCCCGCCAGCTCCCGGCTCATACGAGTCCTCTCTGATGAGCGGGCGGAAGCCCTGAAGGCGAGAGTCCCACATGGCTTCTCCCTTTTTGGACAGAGAGCCACCAAGAGAAGGGAGCTGCCTGCTTGGAAAGTGAGCAGAAGCATGCCCCATGAGCCCCACGGAGGGGCTGGATTTAATGGGCCTCAAAACCCAAACCCGGGAACCACGGGGTAAACTGTGGTTCCCACGGGCTGAATGGATAACAATCATATGGACCTTTTGGAAAAAACGACAAGAGTGGCGGAACCACAAGGTTCAGGAAAACAAGTCAGACTCTCAGCGAATTTATAACTCTATTTGCCATGTAAGAAAACAATGAAGAAAAAAAAAAAAGAAAACAAAGAAGAGAATTAAGAAGACTGGAGGGGAAACATGAACTGTGTCTGCATCTATGGCCTGGAACTTGTGATTTTCTTTCTCTGCTATTTCTCACTGCTGCACCACCTTTCTGCAGTGAGTCAGCAGAGGTCGTGCAGAGGCTCCAGGCCCTGGGTTGAGGTGCCCACGCTCCTCCGGGGATGGGGACACCAACACCACCTGGAGAGTCAGCTCCCTGCCGGCCCTGGACCTGAGTGGAGGAGCAGAGCTGCCCTTCAGCCACGGGGATGGGAAGAAGCAAGGATAGGCCTGCACCGGGGACTGGTGGAGCTCGGGGAGGGAAAGGGGCACAAAAGGCTTCCTACCGTGACATAGAAGGTGGTGACCACGTTGAGGGAGGAGGCAAAGATGGAGCTCATGGTTTTCACTGATGGCTCATCCAGGCTGTCGTACGTGGGCAGGACCTGGCTATAAAAATAACAAGCGACTTCACGGAGCTGATTCCAGAGACAGACATGCCTCTCCCAGGCCCTCAGCCGAATCTCCAACGCCTGCCTTCCCACCGCGCTGGCTGCCACCAGCACTGAGGCTGGGCTTGCACAATAACGTGGACAGCACTCGGCGCGCTCCCTGCACGCACACTCTGTAAACACTTCAGAAGTGCCACAGGATGAAAGGCCGTTTGTTCCACTGCAGCAGGAGCGTGACCGCTCCGGGGAGCTCCGGGCTGGTCTAAGCAGCCCGTGTTTACAGGGGAAGCAGGAAGCAGTTCAGAGCGTCGCTGTCAAAAGAATGGAAAGTTAAACAAACAAGCCGGGCCGGCTGCCCATCTCAACGCCTCAGTGAGGGGCTCAGAGCCGGCATGGACCCAGCTCTGTGACAGAAGAGCGGCTGCAGCCCCACGGCCCAGGGCCAGCAGGGACAGATGCGCCCATGCAGGCTCTCTGCAAATGGCAGGTAGGGAGCGGCACCTGTGAGAGGTGGGCCACACAGAGGCAGACAGGGAGCGGCGGGCGCCCTGTGCAGCCCTGAGAGGAGACAGCAGGGTGACACTGTGCTGAGGGCTCAGGCTTGGTACCCAGGGAGCCGGGGCCAGCAGTCACGCCACGCAGGAGGCCGGGAGGGGGAGCATTAGGATGTTAAGTGAAAAGCACGATAGTCAGCAGAGCCAAACCCCAAAACTGCCTTAAAAAAAAGTGAAAGGAGAACAAAGAGGACCTGTTAATGTTACTAGCAGCAAATGACAAGGACGGGGGAGGCCTGGCTGGCAGAAGCTGGCACCGTCCCTGGCACTGCACACTGTCCCACTGGCCACTGCTGGTGGGCAAGAGTCACTGTGGACAGATGTCCCCACCTCGGTCCTACAGAGGGGGCAGTCAGCGGCCACATGCACGCACACCCATGCAGACCAGGGAGGTGGCAGAGGACCTGCAGGAGGACTGACACCAGCATCTGGGCACTGCCCAGCTGCTAAGACCAGGGCCAGGTCCATGCCAGGGAGCCCCAGCACCAGGTCTCAGGACAGGGGCATCCCCAGCACACACAGGGAGAAGCCCCTGCCCAGGAGCCGTTGAGGGGAGGGGCTGTGCCCACATGCGGGGATGGATGGGTGTGGCAAGGCTGTGGTGCCCACCTTCCTCAATCCTGCCTGTGCCCCTGGGACCCTTGATGGCAGCAACCAGATCCCCAGCACCCACAGAGCACTTTCCCATCTCACTGAGCAGCCTGTGACTCGGTTTACCTGAGTCAGAGGTGTCCGCCTGCCCTTGCGTGGCCTGGGCCTCCACGCACTCAGGGCTCTCTCCGAGCTGCTCTGGGGGCAGATGGTCCTGGGCCGCCCTGTGCTCATCTACCTCAAAGTCAGACCAGGAAGGGTCGCACACTGACGGCACAGCGGAAGCCCAGTCTATCCAGAGTGGGGAGACCAGCCGTGCCGCGGGGCCCACGGCCACCTGGCAAGGGCAGCAGAGCTCCTAGCCTGCACATGCTTCGGGGCCAGATGTGCGGGAAAGAGCCCCAGCTCTGAACCTCTCGGCTCCACTCCCCAGGGGACGTGGGCACATCCCCAGGCCCCACACCTTCCGTGAGCGGCAGACAGAATATGAGCTCACAACCCACCCCCCTCCGGAACCCATAACTCAACCTGAGAACCAAGCCCAAGAGACCCACTTGATGACAGAGCGGCCCACACCGGAAAGCCAGACCAAACCCACAGGAAAAAGGACAATCGGTAACTAGGTACACGGCAAAAGGATGTAGCTTCTGTCACCAATTTTAACAGGGACGTTAAACAGCAAGAGCGGAGTGTGCTCTGGTGGAAACCGAGCTGCCAAGAGAGATGAGAAGTGGGAAACGACGATTTGGATCTCGCATGTGGGTGTAAACACAGTAGTCGGAACAAGTCTCATCTGTCACGTTAGTTTACGACTGGCACAGTTCATGCCCGTGGAGCTGCAGGGGGCTGCTCTGCCAGACCCCCGCCACCGATGGTCCTTTCCTGTCCCCGCCAGATTTATGCCTCTTTTGAGCGGGGTTACCACCCGGCCGAGTGTGGATCGTAGGCGCCTGTCATCTGGTGGAGAAGGTAAGGCTGCTGGAATCATGGAAGACACTGCTTTGCATTTACAGAGTCCTGAGTGCCAGAGCACACGCCTGCTCAATTACACACACGTGCGCATGCGCACGCACACACACACGTCTCTGAAAGCGTCCCAGCAGCAGTCTGAAGTCAATGTTTGTGCAATTCCCTCTTAAATATTCTCACACGAATAGCTAAATTCTGGCAAAAAGCTCGGGACTCTGTGAGTCAGATGGTTCGGGGCTGTGCTGTGTTCCCCACAGCCAACTCTGCTCGTGGGGGATTTGGCAAACTGGGCGTTGTCGCCAACAGTGCCGGCAACACATCTCAGGAACAAAGTCGATTTCTCTCCTGGTAAACACAGAACTCCCGCCCTGAACCCGGAGCGGGGAGGAGCCACGGTGAAGAACACCTTACTCCTCGTGGCCTGCATCATCCACTGAAGGAAATGGTGCTTTCCACTCCCAGGATGGCAGCCTCCCCTCGTAACACTCACCCCCAGGGCCCCGGGAGCAGGTGGTACTTACGACTGGCAGGCAAAGGACATGCCAAAGATGGGAATGCAGCGGAAGACGCCCTCCCAGCGGATGTAGCTGACCCGATGCAGCCACTGCCCACCGAACAGGCCGTGCTTGAAGGAGCAGAGCACGATCTGCGAGGAGAAGGAAGCGGAGCTCGCACCAGGCAGCACACACAGGAGGACTGCGGCCAGGGTCGGGCAGGGCACCGAGGCGGCCGGCACCACAGTGCAGGCCCCGCACGGCGCAGCCTGGTGCCACTGACTGGAGGGGCTGGGGGGCTGGAGGGGCTGGGAATGGTGCATGGCCCAGGGTTTCGGCTCTCTGCTGTGCCACCAGCTGGCCAGGTGATGCCCAGAGGAGCTGCGGGGCTTTCTGGCCCTGGGGGTGGCTGCCCGTCCAGGGCTGCAGATGGTAAGCAATGAGGCCCACCTGCTGTGCCCACCCCAGTCGCCTCCAGGTCAGGACAGTCCCCCAAGCTGGCAGGTCCTTGCCAGTCCTGCACAGACATAATTTAATAGACAGACCCATCAAGGACAGGGCTGCCTGGAGAGGAAGGGGAAGGGTCACTGGGCTGGCCCTCAGAGCCGAGGGGCACTGGAGACACCACCCGGGGCTCGGTCTTCTAAGGAGAGCCCACTACACAGACTCTCCCATTCTGCTCCCACCGGAGTGGTCAGGGGCTCAGGCCCGGGGGCTCCCAAGGGGCGCCCTGAGTGTCAACTCCAGACTGCACCCCTCTGCCCCCTGCAACAGTCAGCGATAAACACTTGTTAGACAATAACTGCTCTCACCCCCTTGTAAGGCTGGCCTCCTGACTTCTGGCCACAAAGCCCACATAAAAGGTCTTCCGTGAACTGGGGAGCATCGCACTTTCACTTCCTGCCTCAGAGCGCTCCCCTCCCCTGCAGCCCTGTCTGTGGGCTCCTGTGGCAGATTCTACGTCACGTTCCCATCAACCTCGGTGGCAGGTGGCGGCCTGACACTCACCACGAACATGAACACGGTGTAGAAGATGAGGGCCATGGCACTGAAGGACTGGATGGAGGCCATCATGTTCCTCTGCAGGCTGAGCGGGAGCACGATGCACAGGGACACCGCAAAGAGCAGGAGCATGCGGAAGGTGCCCGTGACCTGGGCAGAGCGCCAGGAGTTGGCACAGGGATGGCCCGGGCTTCCCACCCCGAGCCCTGGGACTGACTGGGGCCCAGCGAGCTTCGCCTCTTGGCGTGCTGGTCTCGAAGCCCCTCCCACCGCCCCCCATCCGAGATTCGGAATGAAACAGTCCCAGCGCTGCCACGCGAGCAGCCGTGAGGTTTCCGCACACCTGAAGATGTCCTTACCTGAAACCCAAACAGCCTAGCAAAGAAGTTGGACCCCAGGTCGCCAATCACAACATAGAAGGCAATGCATGTTCCCAGCATCAGCCCAATCATGCTGCAAGGAAGGTGGGCAAGCTTGAGAGCTGAGCACCGGGGGTCCCAGATGCACCGGCATCCCCCTGGCCGCTGACACGCAACAACCCAAGGGAGAGGTCGAATGGGAGACATGGTGTCGACATTCAACAGTTTCTAAGGTTTGGCTACAGAGTTCGCTATTTTACTCAGAATGAATATTGAACAACACTAGACTCTTCTTTATGTGATATTACATTTTTCTCTCAGCAGGAGGTTCTAAAAGTTCTTTCAGGTGGTACAAAAATGCACTGTGATGTTAAGACAAGTTAAAAGAACAATCAACTGCTTCAGAAAAGGGTTATTCTTTTCAGTTTGCAATTCCCTAATTTAGAAGCCTAAAAGTGCAATTTCTCAGCCATTTTTTTCATCTCATAAAATTTTACTCCAAAGGGAGAATATGACATTTCCAGTTTAATGCCACCTTTATGCAGTAGTGTTCAGGGCAGGGGGCGGGGTTGGGGGGCATCTGAGTTTCAGGAACAGAACCCAGAGATGAAGTACAGCCCAGGGAGTGCCCCCTCGCTGTGTTCCCTGGGTTTTCCATTTTTATATTTTTCTTAGTAAGACTTAAATAAGGCTTTCAGCCTTGACACTAATCATTTTAAGGGTACAATAAATTAAACTTTCAACTATTTAGTAAGTAACACTTCAGAGAAATATTTTAAGCTATGAACCAATGCACATCTGAAACATACAACTCATTGTGTAGCAATCCTCTTGTTTCTTTTTGGTCACAAGTGAAGAACAGAGAAAATTACCCCCAACAGAACAGCACCACCTACCTGGTTTCCACCAGCATCTTCCCTGCTTTCCCATAGGCGTGCAATGCTAGTGCAGGGAGGGAAAAAGAGAATGAACGCTCAGTCTAAAGTGAGAGAAGCACATCAGTAAAAAATATCCCCAGTAAAAGTTGTGAAAGGCAATCTGACAAAAACTTGTAGGTCTGGAGTTCTACGGATATAAGGGGATATTTGAAAATTTTGGTCCCGTCTTTTTTCAGATCTACCTTCAACAAATAAGAATCACAGAAAATAAGAATAAAGCTAGGGTGGGTCACTTTTCACACTCACTCGTACACAAAGAAAAGGAAAGGAAAGAAAAAAGAAAAGAAAAACGGTCCCAGGGAAGCAGCAGTTTCCCTCTGGGCAAGTTAGGCTGCCAATGAGGAGGCCGAGGGAGGCCTGCCTGGGACAGGGTGGGGGTGCCTGGGGAGGGCGGTCAGCCCAGCCCCAGCACATCTGGTTTTCCCAGTCATAACAAGGGGACCTGGCTAAGGGTCTTCATGTTCACTCTGTGGTTTTAGCAGAAAATCTCGAGCAAGGTGCTTTGGGACAGGAGGGGACAAGTGCACGCAAGCCTGGAGAAGCCCCTCGGCCTGTCCTTCCTGATAGTGGAGCTGTTTCCAGCAGAGGAGACATTAGGAGCTGACTCAGCAGGCCCCTCCCTGGACCTCACAGAGGCCGGGAACCCCTGCAACCCAGCCCCATGGTAAGCCAGACGAGGGCCGAGAGAAGCTCTGATCCCCTAGAAGCAAGCAGAAGGGGGTGCGCGTGACAGCAAAGACCCCTCCCTCACACGTGCAGAGCCGTCCAGGAGAGCAGAGAGCAGGGAACACGCAGGCCACCTCACGTGAACGAGTCCAAAAAACACTACTACTTTACTTTCAAACTATTTAGGAAAAATCACAGCACTGCCAAAAGCCAGTGAACATGGAGCCCCTGGGCTACATGGCCACAGGGCAGGTGCCCTTGGGAAGCAAACCAGGGGTCATTCCGGCCTCCCGGCTTGTCCAACTACCACATGGACACTTGCACCTCAGGGTCCTTTAAGACACAAAGTCCGGTCCCCCTAACGTGAAGGTGGCTGGGGCCCAGCCATCCCATTCCCCTCCTTCTCCAAAAGGAAGCTGAGCATCTACAGCATATTCTAAGTGCTCAGAGCACCCAGCCAGAGAGAGTTCCAGAACACACCTGCATTCTGGACAAAGGAAACTAAAGTTGTTCTAGGAGGCCAGAGAAGAGTCATGAGGCGGCACCTTTTCACCCAGAAAGACTCGCTGGGTTCCCAGAAGGACAAACCTAGTGGGGCTGCCCCCGAGTAGCTGCCTGTGCTGAGAAGGCCTGTGTTTCCTGCCCAGCTCTCAGCCAGGAGAGCCCCACACATACCCCACACACCGTTCCAAGTGTCCAGGCCTCAGTAACCCCTAATCCTGAGACATAAAAAGAACACCTGGCAGCCCCCCAGCCATCAGTCTCTCACTGGCAAGCGAGGGACTGCCCTCCCACCCCTCTGGGCCAGAAGCAAAGCACCAGACCTGCCCCGCGAGGCTGGGCGGCATCTGCTGGATGGTTTCCGAGAAGGCAGGTCCCTTCCCCACGCTCCTGGGCCGGCCTCCCCTCTCCATCTGCAGCAGGTTCGCTGCAGCTCGTGGGCTGGGCCCCGCAGGGACCCAGAGCCAGCACTCCTGCCAGGTGTGCAGCCGGGAATGCTGTCAGGAGGGGCTTCCCAGTCTCCCTAGAGAGGCTGGCTCAGGGCTTTCTCCTGGGGCCACAGCCGGGCCCACGGCTCTCAGCACACCTTGTGGAAATCGGGACCCCAGGCCCACCCCATGCTCTCTGCCCACAGTCCACAGCCTCCGCTCATCAGGCAGAGATGGGGAAGCACACACCAAACTGTGCTATTCACGTGGAGGGCAGCGACCTCAACCCAGCCCTCCCAAAAGCCAGCCACCTGACTCCCGCTGCCATCTGCCTGGGGGGGGGGTGTATGATGACCATTTGCTGGATAAACAAGGGGTGGGGGGTGCAGAGAATCCTGGGTGTCAGGAAGGATGGTTTTGTGACCCTCATTTCCCAAGCCAAGTATCCACAGGTGCAGGTCACACAACTTGGGACAGGCAGGGAGGGACAGGCCCTCTGCAGGCCCCACCCAGCCCATGATCGGGAAGAAGGCTGACCAGGGCCACAGAAACCTGGGCGGGTAGAGGACAGGAACACAGACGCGGTGCCAGAGCAGCTGCTACGCACAGCTGAGCGCTCCGAGGTGGCAGCAAGGCCTGGTCACCTCCGCAGGCTGGGCCCGCGTCAGAGTGGCCTCATGGGGCCATGACTTCTCGGGACAGCTGACTGTCTGGTATAGCTGTACATCTTCTGAAAATGGGGTTTGAAAAGTCTACTTGAAAGTCAGCCACACAAGGCAAAGGACCAGCAGATAAAAAGTAGATAAAATTCACAGAACTGGTCTACAAGCAGCAAACAGAACACCACAAAACACACACACAAAACACCAACAGAAACAAAACACAGCAGGGCAGTATTTCCGCAAACTGGCAAAGTTCATCCTCCAGTGATGCCTACACCCGGGCCAGGACCGGGAGGGCGAGCGCTGTGGTCACTTCCAGGCATGAACCAAATTGAGAAATGTCACAGACTCAAACTTGAGAAAACCATCCACCTGTTCCTTAGAGTGCGACGGTTTAAAAAGGTTATTTGTTGAGGCTGCTTCAGCCGTTTCAGCAGCTTCCACACCCTGCACTGCACTGTCTTCAGGTCTGCCCATCTCCTTACCCCCACCCCCAGCTGTCTGATGCCCATGGGCCCAGCAGACATGTGCTGGGGGCTCTGCGGACAGAGGCCATCTGTCCCGGGCCTGCAGGACTGGCATGCAGTGAGCTCTCTCTGCCCAGGCCACCCTCTCTGGCAGCAGTGCAAGCTCTGGGCCAAGAGGAGGAGGAGGACAGAAGACCTACAAGCAGCAGAAATGGCCCAGGAGGTATGGGAGGATTGCTGGTCCATAGGGTCCAAGAGACTCCCATCTCCTCCTGTGTAGGGCTCCTTTCCAAGTGGTGGGGTCTCTCCATTTCAGAGATGGTGCCAAGACGGAGCCAGGACAAAGGGCAGCTAATGCTGCAGGCTGGGCCTGGGGGGACTGTGGGAGTTCACACAAATGCACCATCTTGTTTGGTACCAAAGGCATAATCAGAGACCACGGGTGGTTTCAGATATTTTTTGGTTCTGGGTAGTGAGAACTGGGCTGCAGCCACCACAAGCAGTTAAAGGTAGGAGCACCAGCCAACCACACAGGAGGGTGTCCATGGGTAGTTTTCTTCAATCTTTCACACCTCGCCAAACCAGTTTGCCTTCTCGGGGACCTTCTAAGAATATTCAGATGGACAGCTGTCAAAAACCACAGCCTCCCCAGTCCAGGGTCATTCATCCTATTTCAGGGCACAGCCAAGCATTTTTTGGGAACCCTGAGCGGGGAGAAAGAGTCACCCCAAAAGCCACAGCCTCACAAAAGGAGGAAGGGACCTGCCCTGGTGCACATGTCATCCCAAGTAGAACCTGGTCTCATGGGTGGGGGAGCGAGTCAAATTTAGCCTCTAAATTTCACTTCCCCAAGTGACTCCAACAGCAATGAAAGAGTCTGACAGCACCATTCTTATCAGAATGGAGAGAGAAGGAAGCAGTCCTTCAATTTTGAGGTCAGAACAAATGTGAGTATCTCGGTGCCAATGCAAAGTAGGCAGACTGGAAGGAAACCAGAGGTCACGCTGCCAAAAGCCCACGCGTGGGGCTCACAGATGTTTTTATTTTCTTTGGCCCTGGGAACCCTGCACACCGTTTCCTCTTGGCGCCTCCTCCCTGCTGTGAGAGCTGTGAGCCGAGGGCCCACTAGGGCCTCCGCAAGCGGACCCAGCATCCGGGCCACACACTAGCTGGAAGGTCAGGGGGTCCCAGCCAGAGGATGGGAGTCTTCCCCAGACGTGCACAGGGCAGCCTCTGAGACCACGTGTATTGGTATTTCAACACCCACACCACATATCCCCAGAATGCAGCATGGAGTCGAGAGGTCCAAGGTGGTGGAGAGAATGCAGCCTTCGCACACCAGCCTGAGGCGGGTGGGAGAATGGGGGCCCTGCACTCAGAGACAGGCTGTCCAGGAAATAGATCAAACTGAAAGGAGGTGGAAAGCGCAGCCTTCTTTGCCTCAGACGAAACCAAAGGAAGAAAGAACTAGAGGAAACAAGACTGCAACCAGCAACAGGACATAGAGGATGCCGTGGAGGAGCTGATGACTTGCTGCCGCTACAAGCCTGAGCCCAAGGACAGGCTGCCCGTGGCATTCAAAGTGGAGACGTGCAGCAATATCTGGGTCAGGCAGCTCGGAAGGAAGGCTCTGGGGCTGTAGGCATAAGAGCAGAAGCTGCCAAGGCTGTCTGAACCGGGAGGGGCCTCTCTATGTGGACGTGCATAAAGAGAAGGCAGGAAGACAAGCATTATCTCAATTTTAAAACATGTTGATTTAACAGCTTTGTTTTTTTAACTGCATTAAATTTTAAAATAAGAAAAACTGCTGCTCAAAAGACTCTTTAAGAATAAAGTAGAATAAAGAATAAAGCACTGGCGGTCCAATGGTTAAGAGTCTATGCTTCCAGTGCACGAAGTGTGGGTTCGATCCCTGGTCAGGGAAATAATATCCCTCATGCTGTGCGGCATGACTAAAAAAAAAGATTAAAGTGAAAGAAAAGTACTTAAAAGACTAAGGCCCACAGCCCCAGATCCAGATGCTGCACTCCTTAAGAAGGTGCTAAGAAAGGTCCCGCCCCTCTCAGGGAGGCAATGCACTCACCCAGGCCAGCATAAGTCCTCCGCTTGCTCAGGCTGGCAGCTTTCACCAAAAACATGCAGGACTGGTGCGTCATCCAAGAACAGAAGACCAAGAGCAGGGCCCCCAGGACAATGCCACACTGGAGTGTTGGGACAAAAGAGAGACGTTAACAAAATAAATGGGGTCGCAGAGTTGGACACGAATGAGTGACTGAACTGAACTGAACAAAATAACATTACCCAGCATCTTTATCTCACACGCTGAACACAGGTGAACAGCACAAATGATGACCAAAAGCCCTCCCTTTGGCTCCCGCTCCCTAGACTTGAGGCCCCAGCTCTTTGTCCCAACGCCAATGGGTAACAGTTCCTGGATGGAGTGGTCAACACGTTCTGTCCAGGGACATAAAGTATATACATGTCCCCGAAAGAGCACCAGGGACCCCATTTCCTTCCCAGAGTTTCAAGGAATGGTGAGAGGTTGCCAGTCTCCCCAGTTCCCTGCAGACACCCTACAGCAAACCACCTTCCAGCCACTTGGATCAACAGCTACGAGTGATAAACACATTCTGGAAGGAAGAGATTAAAAATGACATTTATGCCTTTCTTACAAGTTAAACAGACACTCACCATCTGACCAGCAATTGCACTCCTAGGTATTTACCCAAAAGAAATAAAAACATGTGTTCATGCACAAACCTGCATGCCAATGTTTACAGCAGGTTTATCTGTAATCCAAAAACTGAAGAAACAACCAACTGTCCTACTAGCATCTAGCAGAGCAGAATACACACACAGCCCACCAGCCAGCTCTCCTGCTTGAGGGTCACCACCCCACAGGACAGGTCCATGTGGTCAAAGCCTGTGCACTGCTCCAAACAGGAAATGTCACGCCTGCCTAGCAAAGGTTAAAAAACAGATAAATTGAGCAATGCTAGCCTGACACCTACGACATGATGCATTCACATACAGTTAAAACCTGGCAACACTGACCAGTGGGGCCTGGGGGTGGGAGGGCAACCATCAGTAAGGAGGCAGGAGTGGGGGATGCTGGCAATGCTGTGTTCCTCAATCTGGGAGCTGGCTACATGCGTTTGTTAATATTATGAAAATCCATCAAGAGTACACCTAAAATGTGTTCACTTTTCAGTATGCACGTTACACTTCAGTAAATTGCTAATTTTTTCAGAAAAGTACCCAAATTATTAAAACCAAACAAACAAAAAACACAAACAAAAACTTTTAAGTGACCTGGCTACCAGATAAAAACACACATCTCCAAGTTGCCTGTTGGCCTCACATGGTGTTCTTGCCAACAGGCTTCTCACGGAGAAGACGCTGAGTCTGAGTGATGAGTGACAGCATGTCCTAACTTGGCCAGGCCCTCGGGGCAGGGCAAACCACTTCCAGGTCTTTGCTTGCAAGAGGGCACCCACCAATAAGCTCTCCCCCCAGGCAACTCAGCCTGGCCCATTTTTAAATGCTCTGGCAGGGGACTCATGCTCAGCACACAGTAAGACACTCAAATCTGAATCACCAGAGACCAGAGCCCTGCCACAGTGGCACTTGGCAGAGAGGAGTCAAGGAAGGCAGCACTGCATTTACAGACTCAGGACCAGCCAACTACACATCCCAGGATGCAGTTCTGTGCCAGGCAAGTTGCAATGCATGCTGGGACACGTAGTCCTTACAGAAACATCCAGAGGTGGCCAGCCCACGCTGGGATTCACAAGCCAAGACACAGATGTTGCTTTTGAAGCCGCCAGCGTGGCCTTCTACATAGCCCTGCAGTCTCCATCCTCCCACCAACATGCTCACCAACCAAGTCAGATCAACCACTCACACGGGAACCCTAAATGCATTTTCTTTTTGCTATTTTTATCCAAAAGATGCTAAATGTGAAAAATGCAAAGTGTTGCTCTAAAATTAAATACTGATGCCGATTTTCAGTTCCAAAATATCCATCTTATTTTCATTTTTCCACCTATTTGGTTTCATCATGTAAGACTGGTCTTTGAGGCCTTGTTGGCCACCTGTCCTCTGGTGTCCCTCTCCTCCTCCACCCTCAAGCAACCTAGCTAGTAGACAGCTCCTGCCCCAAGAGGCAGAGGTAACAGTATCTCCAGCATGGCACACAGTAAGCTAAGAAGTTCACTTTTAGGAAAGAAGTTATCCAATTTGATAATTCTATCACCTCCCTTTTCTACCATACCAAATGCCTGTTTATTTGTGAATTAAACAAAAGTCAAATGAATCCACACCTCAAAAATGGTGAGTTTCTTTCATGAGGTATTTAATGCTGGGATGACACCAATTTTTTAATATTTTGGATTTCTTCAATCAAGGTAACATTTGCACATGGTGGAATGCACAAATTTTAAGCACACAATCTGGAGAATGTAGTAATCAACTTGTAACCAACACCCCAAACTAGTTCCAAGGCCTGGGGGTTTGACAGGTGTGCTTCTGAATACAAGTGCAGTCAGGTAAGAGCTTTTAGAAATAATAATAAAGAAAAATAACACTGAATCCTGTGATCACTTTCCATTTTTGAAAGATCATATTACTTTGCTACATTTGCACTTCAATCTGAAATTATTAATTGTTCTTAGGCTTTTCGTTGAGAAAAGAGGGATAAGATGGTTGGATGGCATCACCGACTCCACGGACATGAGTTTGAGCAAGCTCCGGGAGTTGGTGATGGGCAGGGAAGCCTGGCGTGCTGCAGTCCATGGGGTCGCAAAGAGTCGGACACGGCTGAACGACTGAACTGAAGCTTTTCGTTTAGGGAATTCCCTCAATTTCTCTTGCATCCACGGGGCGGGCAAGCTGCGGGGCCGCCTCCCCAAGTCCTAGTTCCCGTGAGGGAGTAAGCCCCGGGCGGCGAAGGGGGTGACCACTGCCTGCTGTACTCACCTGTTTGAAGCAGAAGGGCATGGTGAGGACACTGACCCCTACTATGCTGTTCACTATGTTCGTGATCAGCCCCCAGTTGGAGGCTGCGGCCGCAGTCATAGCGCGGGGTCTAGGGGCCAGGGCGCCTCAGTTCAAGACGCCGGGACGACGGTGGGGCGTGAGACCCTGAGGGAGACGGGTGGCTGGCTGCCTGGAGGAGGCGGCCTCTTGGGAAGGCGGCAGGAGCAGTCAACCTCCAGACCCCGCCAGGCCCCAAGGCCGCCTCATGTCTTCCTCCCTCGCTGGTTCTCGCTGGCCACCTCCGTGTCCCCACGCATATACCCAGGAGAATTGCGGGCTGCCAGCCAGGAACACCTCAGCCCGGCTTTGCAGCCACTCTGACACACACTTCCTCCTTCCGCGGACTCCTCTGCTCGGAAGTGACGGCAAATAGGCGGCGCTCAGGCAGGGCTCTTACGGAGCGAGGCGAGCCTAGTGGGGCGGGGCTTGGTAGGAAGCAAACCAATGAGAGGTGGAGCTGGGTCTCTGGGGCGGGGCCTGCGGGCGGGGCCCGGTGGCCGAGCACCTGTTCCAGCACCCAGCTAATCCTCCTGAGGACCTGGTATCCTGAGCCCTTTCTTTCAGGACCTGGAGCACAAGGAACTCGCCACGGCTCTACATTGTCACATACATATGGTATCATCAGTCGGGCTAATCTGGTGAATAAAATGGAATCGCATTGTGGTTTTTATTTTTATCTTTATTATTTATTTATTTATTTGGCTGCGTGGGATCTTAGATGCAGAATCAGTTCAGTTGTGGCATGCTAACTCTTAGTTTTGGCGTGTGAGATCTAGCTCCCTGACCAGGGATAGAGCCCGAGTCCCCTGCATTGGGAGTGCAGAGTCTTAGCCTCTGGACCACCAGGGAAGTTCCTAACCGTTCCCCCAATTACAAATGAGGTTAATCATCTAGTCCTATTTTTATTGTCCATTCATATTTCTTCTTGAAATGCTTATTTACTTTTGCCCATTTTTCTAATTAGCTATTTGATCTCACGAATTTTGCATTCTTTCAATGTGCTTGACAACTAACCCTGTGTCCCTCAATTGGGGTTTTTCTGATGCCTCCTCGTTGCATTAGTTTTTCATAGCTAGAGTAACAAATCACCACAAATTTAGCAACTTAACCAACACAAACCTGTTCTTACGGTTCTGTGGGTCAGAAGTCAAGAATGCATCTCACTGGACTGAAATCAAGATGTGAGCAGTCACCCCCTTTATGGAAGTTCTCGGGGAGGCTCCATTTCCTGCTCATTGGGTAGATGGCAGAATTCAATTCATTTGGGTGGTAGGACCAAGGCCCCCATATTCTTGCAAACTGAAAACTGAGGCCTGTCCCCAGTTTCTAGAGGCCATGTTCACTGGCTCATGGCCCACTTCCTCCAACTTCAAAGTCAGCAACAGCGGAGAAGGGGTCAACTCCCTCTCACTTCACATCTCTGACCCAGCCAGGAAAAGTTTTCCAATTTTAAGTATTCATGTGATTAGATTGAGTCCATCCGGATAATCTGGGATTATCTCCCCATCTCAAGGTCTGTAACCTTAATCACAGCTGCAAAATCCCTGTTGGCATGTAAGGTAACATATTCACAGGTTCCCTGGATTAAGTGGGTGCACATCTTTGCGGGGAGCCAGTATTCTGCCTACCCACACTCATGGTGAAATTCAAATTACTTTTCTTTGGCACAAATATCATGGATGTGCTGCTGTGTTTCCACTGAATCCTATCACATGCCCTATGATTTTGATTTGTCCCATTACTGACTATATTCTCTCTGATTGCTTGATTAGATAGTTATGTCTTTCTCCTTAGTAAATAATGAGTGGTTTGTGGGGAGGTACTTTGAAACTAAATGTTCTGGTCCTTGTCAAACTTGCAACCTGTTAATATATCAATAGCACTGTGGACTCCTATTTTCCAATTGTATTCAGTGGATTATCATCCATTATTATCACGAGTTATTTTGATGTGCTGATTTCCTAGACTTGGACAGTGAGAGCCCCTTCAGCTGGCCCTTTTGTCCTGTGCTGGGTCCCTGTCATCCTCTGAGCACTTCTTTGCTTTCTTGCATGATAAGGTGTTCCAAGCTCATTGCATACTTTTCAAGAATCAATCCTTTCTCCAAGAACTCCAAGGAGTCCTTCCAGTGGAGACTAGTCATAGAGACCAAGATCTGGGCCCTGGTCCTGGCCACTGTTCCTCAATGGGCAGAACTAGAAGACACGTGTGTGTACCACTTTCACATCTAGATTTCTTCCTAGGTCCATCTACATATTGAAAGTCACATGTTCACAGCAGTATCTCCAAACACTGCTGGAGGTCCGGGGACACAGTCTTCATCCTGATATTCTCCCCTTCGATACTTGTAATGCCTAAGTTGATGCTCTCCACCTCACTTAGGCTCCCATACCCTCCCCTGGGCTGTCCCACTCCCATCCCAGACTCCCTCTCCTTCCCACTCTGGTTCTGAGTGGCCTCCCACCCACAATTCCCAATGGCACAGACACGCGCCTCACTTTGCACTACCTAAAGGTTTTAGGACTGATGTGTAAAGCAGAGAGAGTCAGGGTTGTGGCCATTTCTGAACCTGCAATCCTTCCATTCTCACTACCCACATGTGAGTTCAATCAGCAGAGCTGATGTGACACTGCTGTTCCATGGGAGCCTTCTGAAGCATAAAGGCTGTGTGACCCTGGGCATGTTAAAGAACCTCTCTGAGCACCCATTATTAGGGCATCCATCACTGAAGAGGCAGCAACTTTCCATTTGGTTGCTGGAGGTGACAGCCATGGGCACCATCTGGGCAAGGAGGTGGAGGGGGGTGGACTAGGGTCCCACCTCTGGATGCTGGCGACTCAAGACTTCAGACAGAGGGGGATGCTGACCCCACCTGGCACACTTGTACTAAGGTGACAGATCCTGCTTCTCCCACATCGGTGCCTGCTTTACCAAGGGGGATCCCCTCTACCACCCTCTTCCCCTTCCCTCCCTCTCCCCCACCTCAACCCTCACCAAATACATGCAGGGACCCAGCCTGGGTTAAATTTACCTGACAGTTGTGGCTGCTTTAGAGAAAGGCTCCTGGAGAAGGTGGCCTGGGCCGGGGAGGCAGCTGTGGGGGAGCCAGAGCTGTGGGGCTGGCCGTGACCTGGCTACCAGAACACTGGATCAATCCTCAGTGTTTTCAGTTGTTAAATGAGCCTCATGACACTGCTCTGCGATTCTCTGTGAGGTCACAAGTACAATCCCTTTTCTCCTGGAGAGCATCATTGTTTTTTTAGCAATCCTCTGCTTTTTCAGGACTTCCCAGGTATATGCGTGTTAAGTCACTTCAGTTGTGTCCGACTCTTTGTGACCCTGTGGACTGTGGCCCACCAGGCTCACTTCAGTCGTGTCCGACTCTCTGTGACCCTATGGACTGTGGCCCACCAGGCTCCTCTGTCCATGGGATTCTCCAGGGAAGAATACTGGAGTGGGTTGCCATGCCCGCTTCTAAGGGGCTTCCTAGATGTTGCTAGTGATAAAGAACCCACCTGCCAATGCAGAAGACCTCGGTTCGATCGATCCCTGGGCCAGGAAGATCCCCTGGAGGAGGAAATGGCAACCCACTCCAGTATTCTTGCTGGGATATTCCCATAGACAGAGAAGTCTGACCGACTATAGTCCTTGGGGTCCAAACAGTCAGATGGAACTGAAGTGACTGAGCACACACAGCTTTTCCATCTGTCTCCAGTTTTCAAACTGGAGGCATGACTGGGGGCCAGGATGGTCCCTCGGGAATGAATACTGGGGGACTCCGGGCAGTTGGGGCAAGATGGGCAACAGGGACCCTGGCTGGTATGGAGCCTGAGATTTCATCACCCCAGCAAGCAGGATTTAAATATTCACTCTAGCTCAGTGGCGGAACTGTCCAGAAGCCCAAGATTCCATACCCCTCTCTGGTTGGATCTGCCCTCTTTCAGGCTGTCTTGTGTAGGAGCAGAGCCTGGGGGCTGTCTTGAGCCCAGGGAGGTGGCCGAGGGAAGAAAGAGGGAACCAGGCCTGGTGGCCCTGACTCCCTGCACGCTCCTCCCACTGTTTATATAACCCCAGAGCCATAAAACTGACAACAGATCCAGCAGACAGGAATGGATCTCATTTAGCATCCGCTGGGCGGGCGCCATCGGATCACGTGCTGCAGAGGAATCCACCAACTTCTCCCCCCGCCCCACCGCCCCCTGCAATGCCAGGCCACCTCCTCAGAGGAAGGGGTACTGTGAAAACCACATGGAAGGACCAGCTTCACAGGGAGACAGGGATGCATGCCACCCCCCACACGCACACACAGTCCTGACCTTGGTTTCCTGGGTGCGGACATTCAGGCCTTAAAGAAGTGTGAGGGGAGAGAGGGTCAGCCCTCGTGTTTTCCAAAGTGCACTTACTCTGTCCACTTCGAAGTCCCCTTTGTGATGGGGGAGGGGAGAACATGAGGAGGGGGGGTGGGGCTGGCCCCACTGTGGCCTAGAGGAAGATTATGTCCCCTCGTCCTCTATCAGGGGCCTCCCAAGTTGTAGATGCCTGGGGAGCCCCCCTGATGCAAGGGAGCTTTCCTGGGGCTGACAAGGGGGAGCTGGCTGGACCACCCTTAGTCCCCCAGCTCTGAGAGTCCATCCTTGGCCTCAGCCCCAAAAGCCAGGGACCAAGGGTTTTTCCTGAAGCTCAAGCCACTGATGACCACTGGACTGTTGGCTCAGGTTCTGGGAGAAGGGCCGGGGGCCAGGTGCCCAGGAGAAGAAGGCAGAAGAGTAGCTGCTGTTGGGCACCTGGGCTGGGTGGGCCTGGGAGATCCTAGGGGGCCCAGCAGGGTCTTCCAGGGTTTTTAACACCACTTCCTTCAGCCTCAGGGGCCTCTCTCGTGAGTAGGGGGAGCCATAAGACCCTCTGTTGGAAAAACCACAGACTAATCATCCAGTCTTCCAGGGGCCCCCCACCCAGGCCCCAAATTCCCAGAGACTAGGAAAGCTAGAAGCCTGGCAAGCAGAGGCCAGGCCAGCTGACCCAGCCCTGAGGGAGACCAGAAGCCAGCTGGGCCAAGATGGACCAGACCTCCCCTCCCCAGGTGGCTCTGGGCCCCAGGGGGTTGGTTCGCAGGGAGGCCTACCCTCTAGCCTTTCCTGGAAGGCAGGAAGCCAGAATGGAGTGCTGGGGAGAGGCACCTACATTTTCTCCCAGCCAGCAGCCTGGCCCGGGTGCCCACCCTTGGTCCTCCCCAGGGGACTCCACTAGGCCGACCCATCTCAGGATGCCTGGTGGGGAGGGAGAGGCCCAAGAGGTGTTTTCTACAAGAAACTGAGAAATAACCATCAGCAGAGCTGCCTCTCAATGACCCAGAACCCCCTAGACCCACCAGTGAGGGCCTGCGACTTTCCAAGCCCGGGGCCACTGCTGCCATGGCCACCCTCACCTTCTCTCCTTGCAGCTTTAAGGTGAATGTGAGGCCACCCCCCATTCACATGTGCATTCCTAACCCCTGTCCCTTAGCATGTAGGGGGCCCTGATCCATTAAGACTGGTGTCCTTATGAAAACGGGGAATTGGGGCACAAGCACCCACATGGAGCAAACACCTGTGAACACTGGCAGAGACTGGTATGATTCATCTACAAGCCAAGGAATGCCGGGAGCCACTGTCAGCACCAGGAGCTGTGAGAGGGACATGAAGCAGATTCTGTCTCAGAAAGAACTGCCCATGCTGACACCCTGACATCAGGCTTCTGGCCCCAGAATTGGGAGAGAATAAATTTCTGTTAAGTCTATCAGAACTTTATTACATCAGCTCCAGGACATGAATGTCACCATGCTGTGCTTTCCGGACACTCTTGGGTTTCAGGACCCTTGGTGTCCACACGCCACAGCCCCTGCCACAGCCTCACCTGCTCCATCTGACATGCTCATCTTCCCCGCCCTTGACCAGTGGTCCACTGGTGCCTTTCGCCGCCACTTCTCCCAAGCCTTGGCCCTGTCTCTTCCTTGCATCTGGACACCCCTCGATGCACGAACCACTCTGACCTCCCCTAGGGCCAAGTTCACCACACCACCTAATTTGCATCACTCTCCCTGGAGAACCATAGGAATTGGAGCCATTAAAGTGTGTGCCCAGGTGAAATTCCTGACTAATTCCTGCAGGTAGAGAGGGTCCATGGGACATCCTCCCTGGCCCAGGTCATCAGGTTGTATCTGTTCCAACACTTCTCACAGGGCAAATTCTGGACTTCTTGCTAGAGGCAGTCAATGGCAATCCCTAACTATTGCCCTCCCCATTTTACAGAAGGGAAAACTGAGGCTCAGAGAGGTGAGGTGATTTACTCAAGACCATGTAACTCTGAAGTTACATGGCCTGGACCCAGGTCATAGTGACTCCATAACTCCTTGCACTCAGGGCCACTGGCCTCTGCCCACTGAGCTGAGCTGAGGGAGGCAGCATCTTCTAGCTGGTGGTCGAGTCCAGCACCGTGCTGTGGGGCTGGCTCCTAGGGACACTTTTGGCCATGTTAGAGAAGAAAGGACACAAGGATCACAATGGCACCACTCCAGACCCGCCGCCCGAGCTCACCTGCACACAAGCTTTGGGGCCTCATGTGGCCTCTGCAGACCTGTTTCCCACCAAGGCCTCCCCTGTCCCTGGTCTGACGGGGGAGCCCTTGACCAGGTCCTATTCAGCAACCAGGAATGGGAAGTGTGTCCCCATAGGGAAAGCCTTCTGTGCAGCCAGGGTGAGCTGGAAGGACAGTATGACCTTTGTGATGTCCCTGGTCTCAGACAAAAGCTGCAGATTATCATCTTGGCCACCAGGAGAAAACTCCCCCTGAATCTCATTATCATCTTGTAATTAGAGGGGGTGGTTGAGAATTCGACAAGATGGAAAACCTGCTTTCATCTACTTTTTTTTTTACCCTTTTCTAAAAATTCCAGACACGAGGCAAGAGCTGCCTGGGCCCACAGGTGCAGCATCACACGTCCAGACACAAGGAGCCGCATGCACAGGCCCCAGGCCCCCTCCCCACAGCCCGTTTAGGGCAAGTGGGCTCCCCACCTCAGTCCCTGGGAACTTTGCAAGTGATTTCCCTTCTTTTGGGGGCTGGAGGTAGATCTGGGGGTGCAGGAAAGGCAGGGCCATGTCTGAGTTCATTCTCCTGATGCACCAAGCAGGTTAAGAGCTGTCACTTGACCCCGGTAGCTTCGGATCCTTAACCAGCAAGCCATGTGCTCCCCTGCCTGCCCTGGTCCTTCATCCCCCTAAGTGGGGATGCCAAGCTGTCCTATGGCCACTGTTCGCTCAGCCTCAGTCTGGCAGGCTGGGGGCAAAGTAAGGCTGAGACCCCAGCATGCACTTAGCCCACCCTCCTCCTTGCGCCACGGATCCTCTGTGGGGCAGGCCAGTGAGGCACACGAGGCCTCACCCCTGCTCCCCAGGCTGCATCTCAGGAGTGGGGACAAAGGGTAGGATGTTCTGGCTGCAGATGTACGAGCTCCAGGCTTGCCAGGGTGAGAGGCCTCAGAGGGTTTGTGAACCAGTAGGAAACTGCCATTTCATGCTCCAGAAAGGGAACGCCGGTAGTAGTGGCCCAAGCCTGGCAAATGCACCCTTCAGGGGCCGGGAAGGAACTGGGAGACCTGCTGGCCTTCCTTTTCAGCCCCTTCTGCATCTGGCTCCCAGGCCATAAAAGCAGGGAGATCTCCCAGAGATCAAACCCCTTCCAGGACAGCGGCCCTAGGATCAAAGATGTCACTTCCCTCCACTAAAAGGTATGCCCCAAACAGGGCTTGCCCAGGCACCACAGAGCCCGGGGTCCCCCTCAGGCTCCAGGGAAGGCTGTGACCCACAGGTTGGGAGGTGACACGGGAAAATCAGGTGGCCCCCTTCAAGTGGGGGAAGTCTTGCCCTTGCCCTCGTCATTAGAACACTGAGCTCCTCCCGGTGGCCCCAGCGGACCCGGAGGGGTACATTTCTGACTTCTTTTTGCTGGGTTGGGGACTGGAATGGTAGGGGGTGAGAGAGACACAGCTGAGAGTCCCGGGGCACAGTTGGGCTGTATCCAGCTCCCCCATCGAACAGCTGCAGCCCCCCAGGCTCCCTACACCCGTGGCTGCCCTGCAGTCGGCAGGACAGTGGGCTGTGGGGCGGGATGCAGGAATGTGACATGCCCGGGCGTGGGGCTAGGCTTCTGAGAGCTTCCCCAGCTGTGCGGAGGCCCCAGCAGATGGAGCCTGGGTAATTAGAGCCAGGGACAGCCGAGGGCTGATGGAGACAAGGCAGGTGGGGGCTCTAGGATAGGCTCTGCCTGGGAACCCAGGCCCCTCCACTCCTCAGGCAGAGGGTCAGAGCTGGGCAGGGAGTAGAGGTAGTGCAGCCTTCACGGACGTAGGGGTCCCGGGCAGTGGCAGGAAGGGCAGAGGGCAGTGGATCTGGCTGGGCCCTCCGGATCCACGCTCAGGCTTTGTCTAATCCTCAGGCCCCCCTGCACAATAAGGCACAGTTTCTGCTCCCACAGGAGCTGGGGGACCCCCACCTAGACCTCGGCCGGAGTGGACTCAGTCTTCATCTCTCCTTCAGAGGAGCTGCAGCTGCTGACAAGGCTGTAGGCACCAGGCAATGTTCAAATCCCTTCCAGCCAGTGGGCTAGCCATCTTCATCCAGCCTCGGTTTCCTCACCTGAAATATACTGTTACACACACACACACACACACACACACACACACACACACACCCCTCCACAGCCATAGAAGTTAATTATGTATTAGGAGGTCAGTTGTGTCCAACCCTTTGCGACCCCATCGACTGTAGCCCACCAGTCTCCTCTGTCCAAGCAAGAATACTGGAGTGGGTTGCCATTCCATTCTCTAGGGGATCTGCCTTACCCAGGGATCGAGCCCGGATCTCCTGCATCGCAGGCAGATTCTTTACCCTCTGAGGGAAGCCCCAGTTAATTCATGGAGGTCCACAAAGGGCCTGGTCCACAGCAGCAGCTCCGTCACTAAGGAGTCCCCTTCCTCCAGCACTGCCCAGCCCTTCCTCCGGAAGCAGCCACAGAGGGCCCTGCCGCCATCTCTGCAGGTGAAAGGCCAGCTTCTGCTTGCGGGCACTTGGCAGCTCACGGGACCTCGGCCCCAGGGATGGGAGGGCGGTCAGCACACCTACTGTGTCAGGTGCCTGAGGAGGTGCGGGTCCTGCGTGTGGGGAGCAGCAGGTGAGCGTGGGACGTGGGCACCGTTCCTGCCAGCTGCTGTTGGTACTCTTGCTTCGGTGCCCACACACAGGCAGGGTTTTCAGGTAGCAGGGGAGCTAATGAAATCCAGGCCAGAGGGTGCTGAGCCCCAAGCCTGGCACCCATGGCACGTCCCGGGCCCATCAGAGATTGGCACTGATGACAAGGGCACCCAGGCTCAGAGTCCAGCCGGGCTCCTCCAGCTGTCCCCACGCCACCGAGGGGTGTGACCTCTTCCCTCAGTGCAGGGTCAGCAGTTGGACTGGCCGAGTACAGCTCCCGGAGGGTTCAGAGCTCACAGCCTTCTGTCACACGTCGCCCCAGCTCCCAGTCCGTCCAGGCTCCGCACAGACGATTCTCTTGTGCTCCACATCCCTGGGGGTGGAGGCATCCAAGCTGGGGGGAATGGAGGGGGCAAGTAGGGGTGAGCTCCAAGCAGGCAAGAAGCCCCTGGCCCTACTCCATCCTCCAGCCCCCTGGGAAGGCAGTCACAGAACAGACCTGTAGCATGCTGTCCCCACCTTTCCTGGGGTCCCCGACACCCCAGAAGGGATCTTGAAAGGACCCCTTTGTGTGGTGAGCTCTTCTCTGGGGGCTGGGCCACAAGATCACCTCAATTCCCAGCTGACAGGAACTGAAGTCACCCATGTTCAAGGCTATGGTGGGGGGAGTTGCCCCAGCGGGCCAGAACTTCCTAACACTGTACCCCCAACCCCCAGGGGAGAGCGAGCCTCCTCTATGATCTGCAGGTCCTGCTACATAACCTGTGAGGCCTGGTTAAAAGAGAGTATGGGCCCTGCTCAAAAGTCGGGGGAAATTCCATGAACGGTAGGAAAGCATAAACCTTTTCCCTTTCTTCCATGGTCTCTCCACTTGTCCTGGTGTTTTTTTTATTTGTTACTTAATGTCACTCTCAGTAAAGAAAAATTTAAATCGTTAGCACGCATTTTACATCCATGTTTATAACAGGTGATGCCCATTTGAAACACAAACATAGGCAGAATCGCTGAAATCACGCAACTCATATTTTATAGCTGGTACCTGCTCTCATTTTCTATTGTCACAAACACAGTACAGACCACAAAACTAACTCCACTGTTTTTATTTCACTTCCGGTTGTGCCTGAGTTCTCATCCTGACAAGCTGATAGGGGAAGGGTGAAAGAAGAAGGGCCTTGTCCCCCCTTTCCTTCCACATCATCATTTCCAGTGGGACTGTTGGGCTGATACCAGAGGGAGCACCAGGAAGAAAGGATGTGATGGGTTCCTTGATCGGTGGTCATGCCTCCCACCTTCCCAAATTGCCTGGGAATGAGGCCTGTCACCTCAGCTCTGCAGCTGTGGCTCACCTCCTGCCAGCCTCCCAGGCCCCTACCCCGTTCTCCAGCCTCCTGGAGCCACCCACATTTCCTGGCATCTGCCCAGCAGGCCCTTCCTCACTACCCATCTTGAAACTCCACAGACTCCTCCTCCTGGAAGCCTCTCAGGCCCTCTCCTTCCCCTCAGTGGGTTCATGTGCCTCAGATCCTCCTGGATTTACATGCCATCTCTTCCACCAGATGGGGACTAATGCAAGCTCTCATGTACCGTTGTGGCCCCGGTACCTGGTACCAGGCCTGGAATACTGTGAGTACTCCACAAGAAAGCGGCTTGCTGGAGGGGGACTAGTTAGATAAAGGACGAATGAGCAGATGAATGGACACTTGGATAAGTGGGTGGCTGAACAAGCAATTGAATAAGTGGATGATGGGTAGATGGGTGGATGAAAGGGGGGAGTTGGTCGATTGGTGAGTGAGTGACAGATGGGTGAGTAAATGTACATATGATGGATGGATAGATAAAAGGATGGGTTGGTGGGCATGATCTGGACTACAGTCCTCTCCAAGAGGAACCTCAAGTCCCAACCCTATTAGTTTCACCTTGGTGGATCTTAAATCAGCCAAATGCTTTCAGTCAGTTTTTGGAGACAAAACCCAGCACTGGTCTCACCATTAAACAGGATAAGGTTGGAAGGATAATGGGATCTCACAGCTGGAACAGGTGGCTGGAAAGTGGAGCCGGGAAACTGGGCCTCTTGGGGAGGCAAGAAGTGGGAAGACTGTTACCCGCATTTGGGCGGGCAGGTGACTTGTTCAGGGGTCAAGCTCCAGAGCCAGGGAGAGCCTGCAAGATCATACAGGTCCTGGCTACCAAGGAAGGGGTGCCCAATGTTTGGGCTTCCTGTGGGGGCAGCGACCACATGGGGTGGGGGTCCTTCCTCAGCAAGAATCACGCATGGCCCCTACTAGTCCCAAGGGAGAGCCCACTGCTCAGGAGTGGGGTCCACTGGGAAGCGGTCTGGTCATGCTGGCCTCCCAGTATGCCGTGTTTGCATCTCCCCACTTTGGGGACCCCTGGTGGGCAAGGCAGGACCCACCCTCTTCTTCGAGATGCCCACACAGACCCGGGCTTAAGGTTCTTGACCCACTTACTTGTTTGATCACAGTCAAGTGGTTGTGGGCCCCTGGGCCCCAGCTGGCAGCGTGTTGGGGGTGAGCCCCAGGCATTGGTGGGAACAGGAGGGCAGCGTCCAGCCTGTATGTTAGCCATAGTCACCTTGGTTAGCACCTGGAACATGTGAGAAAATCACATAGAACCTGAGGGCCGTATGGGGAAGATGCCTTAGTCCCAGGTTCCCAGACCCCTCCTGGGGAGGGACGGGGGGTGGCACCTGGCAGAGGAGGAGGCGCGGCAGGAGCCAAGAGCTGTTTTCACTTGGAATGTCCGTTAACATCCTCCTAAACAGGCTCTGTGCCATTTTATAAAAGACTGAGAGCTCGTCGATGGTACACAAAAGATTTTTGTTACTTCAGAGGCAGCTGCTAAAAAATTCTCCAACTGCCGCCACCCCCGAGGAGACCAGGGGAGAGGCCCCCACCTCCCCTTTTCTCCATGCATGCTGTGACACCAGGGAAGAGCTCAATTTGAGAAACAGAAGTCAACTTAACATGTAAAGAACACAGTTAGGGACTTCCCTGGTGATTCAGTGGCTAAGACTCTGAGCTCCCAACACAGGGGCCCAAGTTCGATCCCTGGTCAGGAAACTAGATCCCACATGCCCCAGCTAAAGATCCTGCATGCTGCAACTAAGACCTGGCACAGCCAAATAAAATAATAAAAATAAATATTAAATTTTTTTAAAAAAAGAACACAGTTACCCCAGCCGTCCCTCACTTCCAAACTGAGAAGTGTTGATAGGGGATACAGTCCTCCTGTCCAAGTCCAGATGCGGGTCCCCATCCTTCTCCCCAGGACGCCACTCCCCACACTGCAGGTGGTAGGAGGCTGATGGGGGGGTAGCCCTTCTGCCAGGCAATTTGAAGTGCCCCAAGACCATCCCCCTCCCAGGAAATGCTGCTAGGGACCCTCTGGCCAGAGTCAGAGGTGAGCTCAGGCTGGGCACCATCAGTCCGGGTACCCAGGAGGAGCCAACTGTGGGGTCCCCCGGGGAGGAACACGGGGGTCCTGGACACTTGGACAGGCTCAGCCCTGCAGAGCACAAGACTGAGCTGGCTTGTGAACAAAGACCAGGTAAAGACATAAATCAGCCACCGGATCACATTTCCTGCCCTGAAAGGTCCTGTAAAACACGGGAGAAAATTGACCTGTCAGGGGGATAGATGGGCAGGGATAGTGGCCGCCAGCCGGGGGCCAGATCCCCCTCCACCCTCAGGATCCCACCTGCGCTGGGTTCCCCACCCCGAACCCCCCCCCACCCCCCAACCCCGTCACCTGGCCCTGCCAAGGGTTGGGTGCCCATGGCCTGAGCAGCCCTGGAGCAAAAGTCAGCTGGGGAGGGAGGGGGGAGGAAGTGCGTCTATCAGGCTCCCCTGGGGGGATCTGGCTCCTCACCAGCCCCAACATACACACACACACACACCCCGCACGGCCTGACAGCTAAGCCCAGCTGCCTGAACCGGCAGGCTATAAAACGGATGGAGACCAGAGATGGTGTCAGCAGACAGCTAGAGTACCTTTTAAAAAATGTAATCTCTTTTTATTTCCCTTCCCCCGGCCCCCTCCTCCCTCCACACCCGTAACCTCCCGGTCACCCCTCTCCCTTCCTGCTGCCGCGGACTGGCAGTGACCTTGGAGCCTGGACCATGGAGTGGGGCCGCCGGAGCCCTCAAGGACGCCCTCTTCACCTTGAGGAGCTTTCTGTGCTGGCAAGAGCTCAGCCGGCCAGCCAGCAGGTGGGGGTAGGGGGAGCAAGCCGGGCTCCAAGGTCACCCCGCCACCTGCAACTCCAGCAGCCCTGGGCTGATGCAGGACGTGGGCCTCTGCGGCTGCCAGCTCAAGGGGAAGGCAAGGAGCCCGTCTGCTGTCTGCTCACTCAGGGGGCACTCTGGCCTCCTCCACACACTAGCCTGTAGCCACTGGTCTCAGGCAGTCCTTGTACGGCTCCTGGGGCCTCCCATTCTCACCAGTCCTAGGTCACTCCTCTGGCCCACAGGACAGGGGAGAAGACAGTGGGAGAACCACACATGTCCTTTTGCAAGAAGGGGCAGAAAAAGGTACAAATATTCCCATCCCCTGAGAGCTAAGGGTCCAGGTGAGCACCAGCCTTCAAGGATCTCTGGAAGGCCCCGGGGTGTTGGGAGGTGGGCTGGGCGCAGAGACCTGAAGGCCAGGGAGCAGGTCAGGCTGCCAAGGATGGGCATGCCCGAGCAAGGTGGCAGCACAGGCAGAGGATCAGGGCCAGGCCTCAGGTGGGAGATTTTCACCTAGGGCTCGGACCTCTAGACAGTGCGTTCCCTCTGTCCCTCCAGCAGACTGACTGCCCTGGGGGATGTGCTTTGGGGGTCAGGGTGGAAAGGGGGCACAGAGATGGAGAGATACCCAGAGACAGACAGGAAGGAGAGACCAGGAGGACGAGCAGGGCAGAGGGCAGAGGCCAAAGGCTGTGCGCTGAGCAGAGCAGGGCAGAAGCCATCCCAGCCCCTT